AGGCCAAAGCCATCCCCTCCCCACACCAGCGCTCGCGGCGCGTCCGCCGTCCGCGCCTGCATTGACGGCCGCACAGTGATGTGTCCCCAGAGGAAGTCCTGCAGCTCCTGGCAAAGAAGCAGCGGTTCAGCCGGCCGTCGCTCGCGGTGCATCCGTGCCTGAGTCGATTGCCTGGAGACGGGCTTGTCACGGCCTGCCCGAAGCGAAGTGACTCAGGCGCGCGCGCGTCCCTTAGACTTCGTTGCAACAATTCCAGCTCTCCCGGTTTCCCGTGCCTCTCTCACTGACAGCGGTTACCCGCTCAGACTCACGTGTCCTGGCCGAGATGCCGCAGACTTCGGCTCACGAGGGAATCCGAGAGATCCAATGCAAAAGCCACACAAACCAAATCAAAGCAAGTCTGAGCTTTCACCTGAAGGTTCATAGCGGGACTCCGATCCCAGCACATGTGGCTTTTTTGGGGTCGGACTTCATGACTCGGAAGAGATAGCAGATAGATCTCTCCCCCCCGTGTGCGATGCGATGCGCCTCAGGCCCAGAGTGGTGCGCAGCTGCTCGCCTTAGGCTCTTGAGGAAGCGCCAAGCGCGTGAACTGCGGCACCTATCTGATCTGAGCGCACTTCTCGGAGGCTTGAAAGCTGCCCTCTGCGCCTATCCTGAAACCCTTGGCTCCCCGACCAAACCGAGCATTGCCACCAACAATGGTGCGCCACTGCTGTCGAGCCTTTTATGGGGGCCAAAGACTCTGAAAAACTAAACGTCCGCAGCTCTACTCCAAAAATTCAAAAAGCCATGACAGACACGAGCTGAAATTCTGTGGCTCCTGCTGTCATGGCAGGATTGTCGGTTGGCACACGGCCCGCAGAACAGTGCATGCAAATGCCACGAAGTACGGCCAGCCCAGAAATTGAACTGCTTGCCACTGCGAGGCGATCAGGAACGAGAATAAAGGATTTTCTTCCATTCTTCACTGTGGCTACCGATGGAAAGTTTGCGGTGCCTGCTGCCTGCTGTGGTGCTCGGTGCTGCTGCAGTACTGCAGTGCCAGTGTTGCTCAAGTCTCGTGCTGACGAGCCGAAGTTCGACCGGCTGCACAGTTCCCGGAAGCAAGCACCAAAGCGTGATGGAGGCTTGCAAGCACACTGCGCTCTGACACTCCAAGGCAATGCCGCCATTTTGATGCTTCCGTCCCACGACTTTGGCGGGAAGGTCTGCTTTCCCTCCATTTGTGCACTTGCCGGGCCGCACGGGAGCCTGCTCACGAGATCAAGTCCCGGGCTTGATGTCCTACGGCATGAACGATCGAGGCCCAAACGTCCGGAAGCTCAACCGCTCCACCGCGGTGCTCTGAAGCCTCGCACGCGCGAGAGTCTCGGCCGGTGGCGACTCTGGAGGCCTGCCGTGCCTGCTGCTCCTTTGGCAGCACCCGGAAGCGCTCTGGCATGCGAAGCTGGGCTTATCACAGACGACGTGGCCTCGCCGGCGCAGACAAAACACACAGAGGGCCCTGCTGCAGCGGCTTGCACAGTCTTGAGTTGCCGGCAAGGAAGTCGTGGCTTTGGCCATGGCACTCGGCCCGAGGCCTCATGCTTGCGTGGCTTTGGCATGCTTTGGCCATCATCCATGTACACACAGCCTGGTCATGACACTGCGCACGATGCATTATGCTTGCAAAGTCTGCAAGGCGTGCACTCCCGAGTTTGCTGTTTCCCATACACCACCTGTACACGTGAAAAGTATACGATATATATTACACGGATGTACATGTGTATGTGTATACGTGTAACAACGTGTATATACATGTTCATGCAGTCATGCACGTTGCTGATGTGCAAACCCTGTCTTCGCATGCAACTTCGATAGACTTGGCAAGCTTCTGAGACTGCGTACACGGAAGAGAGATTCGGGTGCGTGCATGCGGCATGCAGGCACAACAAGAACATAATATGTACATATATATGTAAGAGAACCCTTT